CTGCTCCGGCTGTAGTGGCTCCCTGTAAAACGTCACCTGCCGCTGCACATGAGGCGCACATGCTTCGCTGATCTCCATGAACACTCTCCTCGACATGCGGAGCTTTTCCCGGAAGTAGTCCTCTGTCGCGTCATCGCAAACCCGTAAATCCTCCCAAGTCCCGCCAGCTCTCCGCCGCATCCACCAACGTGGTGTCGCCCGAGGAAGCAAACCGCACCCGATAGCAGCACACAGCTGAACCACGGCTTGGGATGTGGTGATGCACTCCGGGGCGTCCAACACCCTTTGCAGCAGTAGCCTCTGCCGCCACCTCGAAAGCGCTGCCTTCATGCGCCCGGCCGCACTCTCGATTTGAAAATGACGAACAATGGCAACCGCAGCCGCCGCGACTGTTGTTTTCTCCGTCGTCGACAGCACAGCAGGTCCATCGCCATCGCATCCGTCCATCACGTCCCTCGTAGACAAAAAACGACGTCCACCGCCGCCCACCTCCGTGCACGTATGCCGCCACGGTTGAAGACGCCTGCAACCACGTCAGGAAGACAACCCGGCCCAACGACACGATTCCGATTGGAGCGTCCACCCACCACCGCTGGCGCACCCACCGCCGCGGCGCTTGCACGTGGCGAACGCGACTGCCTACCGGACGTCTTCGTTTCGTCGCGTTGACCACACTTGACACAGTGGCGGTGGCGAACGAAACCCTGCGCGGCGTAGGCTGGCCCCTGGCCGATCCGCCTGTGCGCTGCCAGCCTGCCACCACGTCGCTCCGCAACATCAAAATTCAAAATTCGAATTTCGAAACGGGATTTTCCCGCGTTGGGTTTTTTTTTTCCAAGGGCCCGTGACGTCTTCCCGCCGTCCGCGTTTTGGCCCACCACGACTGCTACACGGACATCCCGAATCGGAGGCCAGACATTCCTCTCGCGGCTGTGTATAATCTAATTAAACTGGCCGCGGGAGGGCCCCGAGGATTCGTCCTCGGGGCAATTCTCCGAGGACAGGTGGAACGACACCTCCGAAAATCAAAAATTGCTCCGAGGATTCGTCCTCGGAGCCTGAGGACGCGCTGAGGTGTGTCGAACGACGCCCTAAGCCTTAGGAGTAGTGGTAGGTAGGTAGTGAAGGTGAATTTGAAAGAATTTGAAAGATGATGAAAGATTTGAGAGAAGAATGTAGCGTAGTTTAAAAAAAAATAAAAATAATAAAAATAAATATGTCGTTAATTTTTCCCTTAAAAAAAATAAAATAATAATAAAATAAAATAAAATAATAAATAATAATAATAATAAATGAATAAATTGCCCTTCCGATCCAGCGGCCTAGCTCAGTTGGTAAGATACGCAAGTGGCATTCAGGAGGTCTTGGGTTTAAATCCCCCTATTGGCCTCATGTACGTTCCTGGGCAAGCTTGGCGCCCGCCACCTAGAGGCTAGAGATATGCCGTTGGTTCCCCCGAGTGGCATTGAGCAGAGACTGCTGATGTTCATAGGTGGAGGGGACCGGAGGGGAGGCACAGTGACTGGCCCATAGCAGAAGCTCGGTCCTGACGCTACCAGCTTGAGGCTGGTGACCCCTGGTATCTGGAGTGAACTTGTTACCTGACTGATGTAAGAGTTGGGCGCTGGACCCGGTTGAAATAAAATTCTAAGTAAAGAAGAAAAAAGGGAGTGACCTCCAAGTTCAACCGCCAGTACCTTTCCCCGCTAGAAGCAAATAACAGAGCTGCGGTTAACACAAAGGCCGTAAAAGGCTGGTTGCGGCAGCCAGATGCATCCGCGAAGGTTGGTGCAGGGCCCACGGCCAATGTATGAGAAATGTACTGGCGGTTCAAACAAAAAAAAGAAAGTCACCGAAGTGCGGTCCATCACAGTACGGTACGGCCTCAAGGAGAGAGAGAGAGAGAGAGAGAGAGAGAGAGAGAGAGAGAGAGAGAGAGAGAGAGAGAGAGAGAGAGAGAGAGAGAGAGAGAGAGAG